TTATCTGTCTGCCTCTCACAATAATCTTGTGCAGTAGACAAAGCAGGTATAGTTATTATCACCATTTTACAAATGAGGACACTGGGGCTGGCATAGTGATGGCTACTCTGGCCTCACAGCTAATAAGAGGCAGAAGTGAGACTGGAGCTATACCATTTAACTCCTGAACTCTCTCTGCCACCCCACTGTTGCCTCCAAATTGGGGACTCACACAGAGGAATAGAGCTTACGAAGAGTGTCCATATCAGTGGTTCCTTTCTCAAAAAAGACCATCAGGGAATTCCTCGGGGAAAAGAGAGAAAGAAATCTGTAAGTGTCTGATGGGTCAGTGATGGTCATTCTGTGGTCCTCAATCCTGCAATGGGAAGTCTGTGATCAGTCCTGAAAGAGTTCTGAATGGAGGAGCCAAAATTGATGCTGGTAAAGCACTTAAGAGTCATATGCAGCAGACTGTAACTGATATCTAAGGAGTGTTAAAATGACAGGCCTATACTTATGTGCCTGGAACTGCCAGGTACTCTTGCTTTAAGACCTCATCTTTGCTAGCATGGCAAATTATAATAAAGTTAGCAATGTGAACAATGACCGTTGGGGTTTAGATCCAAAAAGATGTCTCCTGAAAAGCTCATATGTTAGGCAATGCAGCAATGTTGAGAGGTGAAATGATTATGAGAGCTATAACCTTGTCAGTGGATTAATCCATTTGATAGATTAATAATTTGAATGGACTATGAGTGGTAAATATAGGTGGTAAATATAGGTAGGTAGAGCATGGCTACAGGAAATAGGTCACTGGGGTCACTATATTATATATATAGTGATATTTTTATATTTATATATCTATCTCCCTGGGTCCACTCTCCCTCTGCTTCCTGGCTGTCATGAGCTGGGTAATGCTCCTCTGCCATATCCTTCCACCATGATGTTTTGCCTCACCTTAGGCCTAGAGCAATAGAGTTGGCCAACCATGGAATGAACCCATAAACCTAGTAAACTTTTCCTTAAGTTTTGTCAGGTATTTTGGTCATGGTGACCAAAAGCTTGTGCAGTAGATAGAGCAGATATAGTTATTATCACCATTTTACAAATGGTGACTAACGCAATGACAATAATGCATCATATTGGTTAATCTCTGCTTAAATCCTTATAAGACTATACAAAGTATGCAGTAGCCCCATTTTTTTTGTATGGGAAAACCAATGTCAAGCAACTAGTTCAACATCTTACTATTAGGTGGACAATTAAAATTTGATGTTGGGTTATCCTGTTCTAAATACTTTTCACCCTATAATGCTTCTTTCAGATCTTATTAATTCAGTTAGCTGGAATTTAATCATCAAATATTTTTGCTTCCAAATCTTTCTTTTTCCCTTAACTGCCTCAGTCTATCCTATTCAATATGAGAGCTAATGAGCACTCAAAATGCTAGAAGTATAAAATCAACATTTAGCAAAACAAAAATTAGGTAAAATAATTCATTGATAAATCATAATATTGATTACATGTTGAAAAATGTAAAACATTAATATAATTTAAATGTTATTAAATAAAAGATGTTATTAAATTATTTATTAATATATTTATATTAATATAAATTAATTTCATTTTTTTAAGAGAGAGAATTTTTTTAATATTTATTTTTTAGTTTTCGGTGGACACAACATCTTTTATTTTATTTTTATGTGGTGCTGAGGATCAAACCCAGCACTCCGCGCATGCCAGGCGAGTGCGCTACTGCCTGAGCCACATTCCCAGTCCTCATTTTTTGCTTTTTAATGTAGTTACTAAAAACATTTAAATTATATAGATGACTAACATTATGCTTCTATTGGACAGTATTGCTATAGATTATTGTTTCAAATTTCATCAACTTTATTCCCCACAGGCTGACATCAGAATAAAATAGGAATAAATGTTCTTCAGTTTGAATTATTCTCACAACATAAGCCTATAACAAAGATGTTCAGACTCTGAGTTCTGTGGTATCTGACAGGCTGCTTTTATCATTTACCATAATCCATGGCAAAAATAATCATATATATATATATCCATCCTGTTGCAAAACCAGAATAACCTGGTATGTTTATGTCATATATACATATATTCTATTTATATAATATATATTCTATTTAGCTTTGTTTTATAATATACTTTATAAATATATTCTATTTAGATTTATATAATTACATATCAATATAACTAAATGAACAGTTTTGTTAAGTAATGTTTACTCAGAGAAATGAATTTCCCCTTACTACTATTTTCTCAATTATCTCCCTTTCTATTTTTTTAACATTGGTTGCAACCCACAAAATTAACTTCCCAACCTACTAATGTGTTTCAGCCCAGTGTATAAAACTAGGGGCAGCGTCTGCAAGTGAGATACTGATTTAACCTACACAAAGGTGAAAGGATTTGGGCAATAAATAACAAGTTTATTTAGTTGAACCTGGCAGAAATTCATTAGCAAGTGGAGGCCTGTAGCTACAGCAAATCCTGTGGCCCTATCAATTGGTCAAATTGAGGGAGTTCTTCACACAAAATGACTCCTCCCTCCTATGGAGTCAGCACTAGTGGTCATATCTAATGTCCAGCTATTGTACCGTTTGCTCACCATCACCTCTTTTTATAAGGAAGAACAAATGCTTCTTTGGCATTTGCTCTTCTTACCGGATCCCCACTCAAGATCCCAGGTCCAGCCAGGAGGTTCAAGTTTCCGTCTACTATAGGCCATGTCTGATGACTGGGGAGTGGGAATCCAATCCAATTGAGACCAATCCAAGCCTGTTTCTGAGATTTGTAGGCATCTAACCAGAACAAGGGAAAATCAATCTTCTAAAGATAAAACCCCCAGGGTCTTAACTTGGAATCTGTCAGTGGTCATGTTCTCTGCCATGTGGTAGAAGCTCCTTCAGCATAGAAGAGAGTGAAGCAAAGAGAAGCAAAGATGAGAGATACAGAGAAAAATGGACCCAAGTCTCTACAGGACTAGTTATATGAGCACACAGCCCTTGTGGTCTCACAGGGTCCCCTGTCTGGTTGGATGCTCTTCTGTGGATGAGTTGAAATGTATAATAAATTTCAAACAAAAAGTTCTTACATTTTCATTTTATTCTGTGCTTACAAACTATATTACTAACCCTGTGGCCTTAGTTCCAATTGTTCCTTAAATCCAACTGGATCTTCACCCTTCCTAATACTGAATCATTTATCTCTTTTTTCAATTATGTGAAATTCTTACCAAAAATGTTTTTGCTGAGCTCCTTAGAAGTTGGTTCTCTTTAAACCAAAGATCTTTAATGACACTGTGATTAAAGACAGAAGATTGGGCTAATAACACAATTGTAGAAACCCTAAACCACCTTGACCCAAAGACAGAGTTCTGTTGCTGCCCCTGAGGCTTGTGACTTCTCAGAACCGTAGCTGTAGGGCCTGTGTATCTCCCTGCAGAGTCCAGAAAAATCTTCATGCTCTAGGAATAAACCAGTTGGTCTCTAAATGTTGGAAGCATTTAGAGACAACACTGATTTTAGTCATCTTGAAATAAAATCTAAAGTGATCCCTTTAACACTGCAAATTCAATAGATTTATACTCAAACTGGACCCTGTTCATTTCTCTGAGCAACTGAAAAGCAAGCCAGTAAGTAGGGCCAAACATGTTCCCAGTATGATATCACTGTTTAGTTGTTATATATGTTAGTTAATACTCATGATGATTTAAAAAAAAATCAATGGATTATCATTTTTTTACAAAGGAAAATAAAAATTACCATACTTAATGGTAAGGTAACTGGCTTAGTTATGCCAGTCTCAGCCTGGTTACCTTTAGACTGATCTTTCAGTTGAACTACAGAACATATAACATGCTCATATTTTTTAAAGTAAGGAAGAACTTGCCCCTTCAGTTTGATTTAGTGGCTTGAGGTTCCCCCAAGTCCCTTTGAACTGTATTGCTCTTGGACCACATTTATTTCTTATGTATTTAGAGTAATTGATGTGCTTGCTGCTCCTAAAGGAGGAAGGAATATGAGGGAACCCATAAGATTAATCTTCAACAAAAAGAACAAATCTAGTGGAAGCAAAGAGAGGGAAGTGAGATAGTTCAGAGACCACTATCACTCTCAACACACATATAGGGCCCATGGCAGCTGGTCCCCAGTGTCTTTGTGCAGCAGCTGCTAGGCACCAGACAGCATGGATTGAAGTAATAGAGTAACAGAGGCTATGTTCTTGGGACCTGTGTCTTCTTGAAAAATGCCCCTTTGCAGCATTGTGTGTATTTCCCAAGAATGTGTTAGTGCCTATAGATGATCCATATAAGAAAACTGTGTGACAGCTGGGTGGGGTCTCTTACAGAAATTCTGAACCCCATGTCCTGACAAAGGTCCAGAAGAATGCCCACCCTGGGAATTATGGGAAATTTATATAATAGCAACACTTAGACATGTCATTTCATTTAATGCCTATTCTAGGCCTCCCAAGAAATCCTACCGAGTCCTGGGTGACATGCTGTTCACTGAAGTCATTCAAGATAAATTTATTAAGCACACATTGTATATTAGGCACTGTGCTGGGGATACTGCAGTGAAATAATCTAGACATGGCCTCTGCTCACTTGGGGTTTATCTTCCCAGAGTGGAAAAAAAAAGTGAGGAAATGAGTAGATGATTTTAAGGGAAATAGGGCTGATAATGGAAACCTACAAGAGGTTTGATAGAAGAGAGGGGTAGGGTAGCCCAGCCCTCCATGCATCTATCTGCCTGCTGGGCATCCCCTAGCTGCGCCCTCCTCTCCCCCTCCAAAGTCCCTCTTCTCCTTCTTCCTCTCCTCCCCGACCCCCACTCTTCTCTGCCCTGCTCCTATCGCTGCCCATTTTCTGGTTTCCACGAGGCAGTCACGAGCCCCGACCCTGCCGGTCCTGAGTGAGACCTAACGGTCCCAGCGCGCCCACAGCACCAGCTCCTTCCTCGGACCCTGCGAGCCGCTACTCCGCGTCCACAATGGGAAATGAGGCCAGTTACCCAAAGGAGATGTGCAGCCACTTCGAACCCGAAGAAATTAAAAGGCTGGGCAGGAGTTTCAAGAAGCTGGACTTTGACAAGTCGGGCGCTCTGAGTGTGAATGAGTTCATGTCGCTGCCCGAGCTGCAGCAGAACCCATTGGTGAAGCGAGTGATCGACATCTTCGACACCGACGGCAATGGAGAAGTGGACTTCACGGAATTCATCCGGGGGACCTCCCAGTTCAGCGTCAAAGGGGACGAGGAGCAGAAGTTGATGTTCGCGTTCAGGATCTACGACGTAGATAAAGATGGTTACATCTCCAACGGGGAGCTCTTCCAGGTGCTGAAGATGATGGTGGGGAACAACCTCAAGGACTGGCAGCTACAGCAGCTCGTGGACAAAACCATCATCATCATGGATAAGGACGGCGATGGGAAGTTATCCTTTGAGGAATTCAGTGCTGTGGTCAGAGACCTGGAAGTCCACAAGAAGTTGATAGTGACTGTGTGAGCCTGTTTTCAAAGAACATTGCCCAAACAACTTTGCCCAAAGCTTTCTTCTTTCTTACAAGATCTGTTCCAGGCATCCATCAACTGTCTCTCTGACTTAACCCAGAAGTATTTCTCTTTGTGGAAGCTACATTTTCTAACATGTGCTTCATCACCAATTCAGTGTTATTAATTCTTATCTCAGTGGTTCAGGGTATCACCCCAAATGGGGGAAGAGCAAGATGAAGCATCAAAGTGGGAAAAGGAAAAAAAAAAAAAGAGTCTTTTATAAATGTCTTTTTCTTTGTTTTGATTCAGATCCCAACCTGTAGTCAAAAACTTTAAAATAAGAAAATATATACCTTAGCCTGCCTTTCTCATGATTTTGTATGCAGGAGGAAATTGTACAATTTGTTATCGGGTGTTAGGTGAACCATTCATTCACTTGTAGTGTTCAGATGCCTTTGACAGATTGTTAACTTCTTGTTGTAGCCACAAGGACTCCCTACTGAGCGTCTTTCAATTACTCTCCATGCAACAAAAATTCATCTCTTCTCATAGTAGGCTGCAGCTCCATTCCCCATGATGCATCTACTCAGGGGAAAGAGTCCAGTAGGGATCCTCCAGGGCTCATGTAAAAATGTGAATCCTGCACCAAGTGCCCAGCCCAACTATAACCGGCAGTGGCAGTGGATATTCCATGTTGGCTACCAGCTCCAGTATTAAGTTCAGAAAAGGGATCTTCTAGTCAAACAAGGCAGGGACCTTCCAAGAAAGCACTCTCACTTTCAACTCTGTCAGCTCACCTTAGTTGGAGTAAATGGGAGAGATATAGAGTCAGCCATCCCACAGGACAGAGTCAGTAAAGATTCTGGCTGCGGTGACTCTCCTGGAAATGCCAAAGGAGTGTTGCTTCTGGTACTGAGAGATGCAGAGATTTGCAAATAAGTCTCTAAGCAGAGGTGAATGGTGGCAGCACTGGCTGATTTTGAAAATTAGATCTGAGGCAGAGCAGAGAAACTGAAAACTCCTCTCAAGAAGCTCTTTTCCTTCTGTAACATTGCTATTTCACTATAATTTTCTTTCTCACAGAGGACCACTCTCCATAAAGATGTCTAAGGCTCCCAAAATGCTAGAAAAAAATGAAATGTGCTCTTTTTACACTTACCTAGCCAAAGGAAACCTTTTAGGTGATTTCTCTCAGGATAAGGAAAATCCATTTCAGATAAGTTTATTATTGTTTCATTTTGAAGAAGCTGGCAACTAGACTTGATAGACTGGCAGGACAACTATCTACAAGGCATTCTGACATACTTTTTATACTTTAAAGAACCACAAATAGGAGTCCCTGTCACTTTAATTCATGTGCAGTCCTAAAGAAATGTATTAACAATCATAAACACTCCCAATCCTGTAGTGATATGAGTCATGACCCTATTGCAGGGTAATACAGATCAAAGATGAAAACACACTGGATTTGAATTCAGTTGCAACTGGGTTATCATAGTCTCTTAGCTATGTGAACATGAGCAAGTTAGCTTATGTCTTTCCACCTAATTAAAATGAGGATATATATCATTTAAAATGTGTAAAGCACCTAGAATACAATATGTTCGTGCTACTAATTGCCTTCTCCCTATTTTCCCTTATCAGTATGTAAAGGAGACATGAGGTGGCTGTTGTTTGTTTCTTAATAAGCAAAGTTCATGTTATGCTCGAATTCGGGACCCCCAAAGACTACCAGAGACCCAAGATCGATGTAAGCAGCAAAGAGGTGTTTATTGCGAGCTAGCTCGGTCCTCCGCACGCACACACAGCAACTGGTGACGCTGAGAGGCCCCGAGCCCAGGGTTTGCAGCAGTTTTATACATTTTTTGGAGAGGGCAGGGACTTCACATACATCATAGCCTCTTTTAGCAAATCATCACACACCTCAGGAAAATCAAATAACAACTCTAAAACATGATTAGCACATTCACTGGCGGTAACAAGTTGGGTAGGGGTGATTGGTCAGTACAAAAGGGGTATTCGTTTGAACTGATTGGTTTGAGCCAAGAGAGGTGTACGTGCTGAACTACATGGTTTCCCAACATGTTATCAACCACCATAAACTGGGAGGGTCATCTGGCATCCCAGGTATTTCCCTGTCTCATGCTGATTGGTGGCTGCTAGGAGATTGCTATGGATCTCCACCTAGCCTGACTGAGTCAGGGACACCTGGCGCAGCAGATCACTCCTGTTATTTGTAGATAAACAACTTAGCAGGGTGGGAATGTGCCTAGGAGTGCTCTGTGGGTTTTTCCAAGGACAAAGGCCATGTCCCTTTCTTGGACAGCTTTGCTCTGAGATAGAGGCTGGTTTTTCATTCACTTTAGGCCTCAGTTTCCTGTTTTATGAAAATTGATACTTGATTTGATTCTAGTAATAACACTATTTGAGACAGGTAAATACAGGGACCATAAAAACAGTGAGGTAGAAACATTTACTACCTAGCCAAACCCACTCTAAAGTTAATTGAATGTCTTTGTGATTCTTGCCCAGAAAGGAAACAATGGGGACAATGTCAATGTCCTCTCTCCCACCTCCCATTTTCAGAGGGAGTAATAGACTCCTTGAGAACTGGGGAAACTTTAAAAGAGGGCACTGTTTGACTTTGTGGAGGGAATTTTACATGGGGAAAGTGAGCACATGTCATGCTGGCCAAAAAGACCTCTAAAAGAGAGACATTATTTTTAGTGGCAATGTGTACATCAAAATATGGAGATTTTGAAATTATGAACATGGGTTTGAAACGTGGATTATGTATGCGAACGTAACAAGGAAAAGAAAAATATTTTAGTTTCTGGAGTGACTAGAATTAAATGATTGCTTCATCAATCTACCTAACATAGCTGCCCAAAACTTTGTGGCAATGATTGAATCAAGAACTTGTTTCTGTTTTCAGCATTGGAAAGATCTGATGGGAAAATGGATCATACTTACTTCCAAGTTAGAATTCTTTGTTTTGTTTTGTTTTTTTTCTCTCAGTTGATTGCCAATTGTCAACAATTTTAGTTTTGTCCAACTCCTTGGAGTGACAATAATAGTTACCATTTATAGAGCTACAATGATTCTTGGTACAATCTTTATTGTATCAAAATAAATATATACAAAACTGTGATGTGGGCACCATCATCTCAGCTTTACAGATGAGGCATAGAAAGATTGGAAGTTCCCCAAGGCCATCCATTCAGTAAGTAACAAAGCAAGGATTTATACCAGGTTTTCTGACCCCAAACCCTGCGCTTCATTTATATTTCAACTGCATTCCTCTTACTTTTGTGGCTCCATATGTACCTGTTTCAAATTATTTCTGTTAGTCTTATTAATGTAATCAAATCAACTCTTAATGTTCACAAAAGAGGAAACTGAGGCCCAAAGAAGTAAATTACTTGTCAAGAAGCAAGCAGCCAGCCCCCATAACTTTGGTTTCACTTTTAGCAAAGAAACAAATATATTAGACAAGACAGTTTAAAACCATTTTCCTCCTTCATCTCATCTTTTGAGAAATAGGTGACAGTATTTAGATTAAACTGAAAACAGCAACCAATATGCTCTGAGACTGCACAGATTAGTAACAATATGTCGTTATGAATCTATGCTAATGAGTTGTGTCTGCTGGCTACCATATGTCGCAGTCTCCAAGCCATGAAACACTCTTTTTGAAACAGAGGGAAAAATATGGCCTCAGCACAATTGGTTTATATTCCAAGTCTATCATGCTTTAGAAACATTCTCAAGGGAAAATCTTCCAAAAATTTAAGTTACAAATTCATCCTTCACTTATGCTACTGATTCTGTTAGGATATAGAGTAGGTAGGTAGTCTGGCTGTGGTGTTTTATCTATTTTCCATGCTTTGAAAAGGGAGAGCTCAGAGGCTTTTTAAGAGAGATGTTCATGGTAGAGAACTGAAGCCACTAGTCTGAGAATCAGACTTCAGATTAGACTCTGGACCCCTCTTTTTCCTTTTATATTTCTTTTTTTGGGGGGAGCGGGTCACAGGGGGGTTGTGTATGTGTACTGAGGTTAGAACCTAGGATCTCACACATGCTGGCCAAGTGCTGTACCACTGAGCTAACCCCAAGCTCTGAACTCTTCTTCTATTGTATTAGCTACTATACCTGTGTTAGTAGCCAGTGACTGTGACTTATAAAATGTGGTAACTTTTCATCACTGTGACTGAAAAACCTGGTAAGAACGACTTATTATTTTGGCGCACAGTTTCAAAGGTTCAGTCCATGGTCATCTGGTTCCATTGCTCTGGGCCTAAGGTGAGGCAGAACCTCATGGCAGAAAGGTAAGGCAGAAGAAAGCTGCTCAGCACATGGCAGCCAGGAAGCAGAAAGAGAATAAGGGCCAGGGAGAAAATATAATCCCCAAGACCATGCCATCAGCCATGCCCCACCTGCCCACAGTTACCACCTATTAATCAAAATTATTAATCCATTAAGTGGATTAATCCACTGATGAGGCTACAGCTCTCATAATCTAATCACTTCACCTCTGAACATTCCATTACTGCATTACACATGAGCTTTTTAGGAGATACTCCATCTCCAAACCATAATATAAACTATGTGTCATATCACCTTTTTAAATGAATTAGCTGATTCATAATGAAAACCATGACACATGCAATAAGTTGTGTAGATCGGAGGACATAACTTGATAGTCCATAGGCTAAAGCTAAGCCACAAATGTGCATTTTTTTGGTGTTGGTTTCTCATGGTGTTTATTCTCACAATGATCTTTAATCATTTGCCATTTTTTTAATCTAAAGTTTTTTTTTAATTAAAATTAACATAAAGGAATGAGGCCATTCTAGGATGGAAGTGGCCTTTTGTGAGTCGAGGAGCCTCTGAATATTGGGAGAAAATTAAAAGTTTCAATGAAGAGAAATTAACATAGTTCCACTCTTAGCACAAAAGTTCAAGCTGGAGCTGAGCATGGTGGTGAGTGCACACCTCTAACCCCACGTGCTT